GGGCTGATGCCAAAACACTTGTCTTGTACAACTGTTGGGAGGTACAGAGACAGGAGACCTGCTGACCCGAGAGCCGAGGGGATGGGAGTGGCCCTGTCACAGTGGCTGCACACCTGGGCAGAGGTCAGGGCTTGGACCAAGGAGGAGCACAAGAGGGTGCTCCACTGAAGTCCCGGTGGGTGTGCATGCATGTGTGTGTGTGTGTGTGTGTGCACTAAACATGATCTAATTACCATGTGGACCCCATCAATAGTAACAGCTGATGCTTACCATGTGTTCACTTGATCCTCACAACCACCCGTCCGACAAGTCTTGCTGTCATCATCATCATCATCATCATGGACGACGTTCGACAGAAAAGAGAACTGAGGCACAGGGAGGCAAACTAACCAGGCTGAGGGGACCCAGCAGGCAGGGAGAGGGCTGGGTCTGAAGCCGGGCAGCGGGCTCCAGAGGCCTAGTCCTCACCGTGTGCAATCTCTCTGCTTTCTCCCCAAAGCCTACTCCCCCTCCCCGACTCCAAGGACTGTGGGCAGAGCCCTGGGAAAACCCAGGCAGAAGGGAATGCACTTTATTTTGTGTTCACCCACAGAGGCCTCGATGTCTCGGGGACGCCATGAGTTCCCTTTAACAGTAGTTGTTGGGAGCCACGTCGTTTCTCCAAGGGAAATCTTTTGATTTTGCAACGAATAAAAGGGTGTGTTCAAAAAAGATTTCACCACATATTCAACATGACACGCAATGTTGCAGATTGATATTCTGCGTGAGAATAGAGCCCAGTTGGAGCTCTGATGGAAAGGATTGCTCCTCCACAGGGCCAATTTGCTTTATTTCCCCTGATTCTGGCGAGCCAGGTTTCTATAGGAGGTACTTCAACCAACCAGAAGCTTCTGATCCAAAGACTGCTGGCTGTTGCCTACTATCCATCCCCCCTTCCTGGGGATTAATAGACTCTGACATTTGAACGTGGACATAGTGCCACCCAGAATAAAGCCTACATTTCCCAGCCCCCCTTGCAGCTAAGTGTGACCTTGTGGCTAAGTTCTTTCCAGTGGGATCTAAAGAACAGGGATACATACAGCTTCCAGATGGAGCCCTTACAGGTGAGAGCCTCTCTCCTCCTCCTCCTTTTTGCCTGTGTCCTCATAGCTGGGTGCAAGGGTGGTGCTGAGCATGATGGACCACGGAGAAGAGAGCAAGCCCATAGGGATGGTGAGTGGACAAGACAGAAGGAGCCTGGACCTTGAGCTGCCAAGCCAACCTGTGCTCCCCACTCTCTGATGATTCCAGAGGGAGAAGAAAACTGTGGCTGGAGCCATATCTTAACTCATAAAGAGAGATTCCTCACCACAGGTGCTCACACCCCAGACTCCAAGACAGGGGTCACCCCAGGCCTGTGTCCTTGTTAGGGGACACCCTGTCTCTCCCATGAGACTTTAGCATAAACCATGTTTCCCAGCATCGTTCACATTGTTGACCATGCCCCACCGCCAGCTGCTTTCATTCTTCAGGCTCTAGGAGAGAATTCAGGAGCAGGAAGATAGAAATACATGCTCTTTCTTTAAGCCACAAGTGAAATCTCCACGCATGACCACACTGTAATTGCTGAAGACATTTCTACTATCATCTCATGCAAGATAAGCAAGAAAAAAAATAATCCAGCAGACTGACCTAACTCAGGCTCCTCCTGCTTGCCTGTACACACACACACACACACACACACACACACACACACACGCGCGCGCGCGCACACACAGCACTGTGTCCTGCCTACCAGGCTCATACTCTTCACCTACATAGACAGTTATTCTAAATTAGTATTATTTCTTTAGTCCTATCTGACTCATATTAAGGGGTAGGAAGAGAGAACCAGAGGAAGGGATGATGTACTGGAATGTGCCAGGACACATTGGGTGAAGAGAGGGGGTGAGTGGACAGGCGACCCTGGGATTTCTGTAGGGGTGGACGAAGGTGGTGTGGAGGGCGGGCAGGGCACTGTACCAGGTCATGCATTTGGTCTCTGCACTTTCTCTGTCGTCAGGAGTGGAGGTGCTTCTCTCTCCTCCCACGCGACCTCCCCTGCCGCCCGCCCCAGGGTGACAGCCCCAGGACGGGAGCCTGTCCTCCAACCACCCACTGTCCTGCTCCACAGGAGTGACCAGGCCGCAGCCCGTGGCCCGAGAGATCCAGAAGAGGCCCAGGGGTCCCCTGTTGCTTCTCTGGCTGTGCTCTGAAGTCACACCAGCCACATGTCCGGGGCCCCATCATGATCCGTCGTGGATGGTTACCACCCTGGGCTGTGCAGATGCAGAGCATCTCCATCATCGTAGACAGTTTCCTGGGATGACACTGGCCGCACAGACAAGGTCCTGAATCCAGCAAGTCAAGTCATCAGGTGGGACAGAGGCGCCAGGCAAGGAGGAAATGAGACATAAGGGAGCTTTGCCCAAAGGTCCCCCTCCCTCATGCACTCAATCCTTCATTCACTCACCTCCTTCATTTCACGTCTATCGAGCTCCTTCCAGGCCCTGACCACTGGCTGTCCTGGCCTCAGGGAAACAAAGGAGAATGAGGCAGACCATGAGCTCCTCGGGGAGCTCATGGTCTCGTCCAGGGAGGCAAACAAGAGAGAAGGAGGCGAATAAATCAGCAAACAAGACAATTTCAGAAAACAGCAAATGCCACCAGCAAAGCAGTGTAGGGTGAGCTTGTGGGGACTCAGTGTCTGCAGGGGGAGGCCAGGGTTTGGTTTTGGGAAACATATCATCTCCGGGCAACCCAATATCACAGGCCGGGGGTGACGTCGGACCCTCGAAGGGGTGAGGAGTAAGATGCTCCAGAGACCACCTCCTGAAAGGCGGGAGGACCTGGGGCCAGGGCACCCCTGAGCTCTGGGCATTAGGACGTGGCCCCAACCCCGGGCCTGGAGGTGCACCGGGGTCCCTGGAAAGCAGAAGGGATGTGAAATGCAGCAGTGGCCCAGGCCGCCTGCGGAGCTTATTCCAAGGACGGATCAGAGAGGCTGTCAGGAAGGCCCTGGCTGGCCCTGGCCCCAAGGCTGCCCGGTGTGGGGGTCGCTCTAGTGTCCAGTTCTGGAGGCACTGGCATCCTTCCCCTCAGAGCCTCTTTGCACACACTGTCCCTGGGCCCTCATGGTACTTTGTCCCATCCAGGAGGCAGGGGCCCCCACTCAGTAGAGGCCCCAAGAGCCTGGCTCCTAGGAGCTCCAGGGACAGAGCTGTGTGGCTGTCACTGCCCCTATAATTCCCAGGACAAAGCTCGTGGGGACCCAGATGCTGGGAGGCAGGAAGGGGACCCGGGGAGCAGCTGCGACAACAGTCTGACCTCAGCAAGGAGAGCCAGGCAGCTGTTTGCCTTGAAACCCTCAGAAATGAAGGTGCCAGCAATCTGCTCTGCGGCAAGAACTTTCCATCTCTGCATGTGCGGGGCATAATTATGTCATTTGGGTTCTCAAACAGACCAAACTGTGTTCTCCTGGCAGAAAGTGAGCAAAACCAACCCCGGTAATGGTTCCCTGACAGCTCAGTGGATTCAGCCAAAGAAAATGACCCTGCACGGCAGCGGGTGAGGCCCACACAGGATGATTGTGAGAAATAACTCAGCAGGTGTAAACGTTCCCTGCATTTCTGGGCAGGCTGGAAGGTTCCAAGGGGCCAGGTAAGTTGCTGCCCTCAACCGAACCCTCTGCTGGATTGTCCTGGTGACGGGACCTGAGACCCGACTCAGGCGGCTCAGGCCGAGGGCATCGATGGGCTCACGCACTGGTGCTTGGTCTTCAGGAAGAGCTGGGTCTGGGTGCTCGGATGCCACACCCTGGGCTCAGCTGTCTCCCGTGTCCCCGTGGTGCCGCAGTCAGGGCCGGGCACCTGCAGGTGCTCTGTGCCCAGCTCCAACCACCCACGGTTCCAGCTCCAGCCACATACTCGCGCAGGTCCAAGTCCAGGGACGGGAGCGCGATGGCACAAGAGCCCCAGAGTCACTGATGAAGCAGCATAGGTCCCTCCTGTCACTGAGCCGACTGCTGGGCAGTGGTGGCTTGTGTGGCCCCTTCCCCCGCAGGGCCTGGAGTTTGGGGTCAACTCACCCCCAACACATGGAATCAGGAAGGAAGGTGAGTTCTCAAATGACACGCAGGTTCTGTTGACACCAGAAGGGGAAGCAGATGTGGGAGGGGGCAGGGGGGGGGGTTCATCCCAGGAAGGGAGCGTGTAGGGGACACACCACATGGCCAGGGAACCTCGACGGAATCAGGTGGTCGGTGCAGAAGACATTCCACAAGCTCTGGATTTACTTCTGAATGCTTCAGCCCGTCTGGGAATTTGTAACTGTGAACGTGGTCACCGAATGTGGGGTGACGGCTACCTTCTGTCTCCATCAGAGAGTGAGGGAGTTTGTGGACCCCTGGGAAACCAGGCCCCCATGAACGGGTGCAGCACTTTGGTCCCCAGGGGCCAGTTGTGCAGGCTTCTCCCCGCCAGGGCCCTGCTCCCTCTGAGCCTTGGAAACCAGCTTGGGGAGCCTGACCAGTGGTGGTTGGCCTTATTCCTGAGGGACAGGTCCGGGGCTGGTGGGGGGGGGCGTATGATGTCACCAAGGGGCACTCTTGCCATGTGGACCTCTGTCCTCAGCCTGTGCCCTCCCTCGGCTGCAGATGTCCCTGCTCCTTAGGGAAAGGGGAGGGGAGGAGAGAGGGGAAGGGAAAAGGGGGAGGAGACTGAAAGAGGAAAACTGCTTTCCTAGAACCAACCCCCCCTCCACCAGGATAGAGGGGGGGAGGGGGAGGGGCGGGAGAAGAGAGGAGGGGGAGGAGGGAGAGACTGGAAGGGGAGAACAGGGTTTTCCTAGACACCCCCCGCCCAGGAGGGAGGAGGAGGAGGAGGAGGGGGAGGAGGGAGAGACTGAAGGAGGAGAACAGGGCTTTCCCGGAGCCCCCAGCAGCCGCCTGTTCCCGGCATGGCCCGACCGGTGTCCCAGGGGCACAGAGGTGGAGGCTGGATAAGGTTTAGGGGACTCGTGCCCATCGGGGCCGTGAGCGAGAAGGAAGGGCAGGCCCAGGGTGGACACCTGGGGTGTGCGTCACCGGCCAGAGAACAGGCTCAGAGACTTGCGTTTGTGTGCAAAGGACACGCGCAGCTGTTTTCAGTCAAAGGTACATAATTCACATCTTGGCAGACACAGACGCAAATTCCTGCTCTTGAGTAATGAAGGCGACCGAACCGCACGCTCTGCCTGCAAACATTCCACGCGGCCCCGCCGCCCCCGGGAGCCGTCCTGGGGTTCAGATTCAGCAGAAATGCCCCGAGCCCGGCCGCCCGGGCGCACGCGGGCTGGGCCGTCGCCTCCGCGGGAAGGCGGCAGGTGGGGCAGCTCCTCGCTGCCCGGGAGCCCGGCTTCGGCCTGCCAGCCCCGGCCTGGACGCGGGCCCGGAGGGAAAGCCCAGCTCTCCACGGAGCCACCGCGGCCCGTTATTGCTGCTCGAAAACAGCCCTGGATCCTCAGCAGAGAGCAGGGTGACAGGCCCGGCTGTCGTGCTCAGCTCTGCGTGAAATGGCCATCGGCCGCTTGACTTCTGTGACGAGCAGGCTGGTGGCTTCCGATGGGTGTGAATAAACCCCTGGCCGCGTGCGGGACCTGCCGGAGGCCTCGGGGTCCTGTCTGCCAAAGAAGCGCGAGTCCGTACAGTCACGGCTCGTGCCCACGTGAAATGCCCTGTTGTCGCCCGGAACTTGCAGATGAGCCAAAACGACTGTGCTCACTCCTGGTCTGCGTCTTGCCATAGCCTGTGATCCGTCCTCCAGTAAGTAGCCATCTCGAAAAAATAAACTGAGCACATTTAAACAATTACAGAGATTTTCCGCCAGAAGAGTATAATGGACCGCCCATCCCCCAGACTCCACGGTTAGCAGGATTTGCCCCATTCCCTCCAGCTGCCTCTCCTCTTTCTACCAAAGTATTTTAAAGCCGATCCCAGACGCCACGTGGATTTTAAGACATAACTGTGGTGTCGCATCACCGATCCCGCGCAGATTGCTCTGTCTCACAGACGTTTTTTCCTCACTGCTTCCCCAGAGTCAGGACTCAAACAAGAGCCCCAGCATTTGGTCAAGTCTCTACAGGCTCTTGGTGGAATGTGATCTGCTCCCTTTTATTTGGTGGCTCATGTCACTGCCTTGTGGGATTCCCAGGATCAGTGGTGCCACGGGGCCCCACGGTCTGGATTCGTTGATCTGGGGCCTCACATTTCGATTCCTCCACCTGGAAGGAGAAGCGGGTGCCCCTGAGCCACCTCGGGAAGGGTCGTGGTGTCCAATAAACCCCGCCTGGGCTGCTGGAGCTCAAAGGAGCCAGCTTCCCCAGCTGCTGTAGGACGTGTCTGCCTGTGTTTTAAGGACGTTTCCTGGATTATTGTTGAACAGCACAGTAGGCGTTTGCTGCCCAGCATCACCACCTCATTTGGTGTCAGCTCTGTTCCTTCATTCTACAGGTGAGGACTGAGGCTCAGGGAAGAGAAATTTGCTCAAGGTCTCTTGTCCTGTAGTCCTGGGGAACAGTCTGTCCCCCCGTTTCCATGATTGCCCCTCTGTGGGTTCCACCCAGCAATCAGCTCTGCTGCACCTGCTCCATATAAACCCCTCCAGTTGCTTCCCACCATTTTTCTCATGAACCCCAGGGTCTTGCCTTGGCCCTGGAGGCCCGTCCCCCACTTCCTGCCTCTCTGCACCCTGCTGTCCCCCACAGCCCCAGTCCTGGGCCTCCTCCCTCTTCTTCGTCCATCCCAGACCTACGTCCGGGCCTTTGCACGTGCTGCGCCCTTTGCCTGGAACGCTCTCCTCACTGCCTCTGCCTTGGCTGGAACTTCTGTGTTCATCTGGGCTCCTAGTCACCCCTCCAGAGAGGCCGTCCCTGGCTCCCTGTCCAACGTGTCTCACGTGGTCTCTAGGCCCTGCCTTCTTTCAACTCTCAGTGTACTTCTGTAGAGCAGTGCGTCCTCTTTATCAACCTTGTTTTCTCTGTGGTCACTCACTGTGTCTCCTTTACTAAAAGCTTCACCTTCTGAGGCCAAGGCGGGGCACGCCGATTCACAGGTCAGAGATGGTGACTCACAAATATTTGCTCACACAACGGTGAATCAATGAACGAAGCAGGTCTGAATGAATGAATAAAATCTAAGGTAGACATAAACGATCTTCCCAAGTAGTCATATTCTTATGGCAAAAATAAAAGAAAGAAAAGTGAAGAGTGTGTCCCATCTGCAGAAAGCCAGGCTGTTAGGACCGGCTGCCATCCTACACGAGGAACAGGAAATAAGAGCACTGGGGGCTTTCATGGAAAGAGCATCTGTGCACAGTCTCCCCTTCTGATCCGGTCACCAGAGCAGCGATCCACGTTATAAAGGTCAGGACCTTGCCTGCCTGCAGGGGCTGGAAGATCCTCTCTGACCCTGAAGGGGCGCCTGGACCCTTGGCTGTTTGGTGTCTTCATTAAATCGGGCTGCGAGGAAATGCTTGGTTTGTTTTTGCCTCTCTGTCTGAGGACCTTCCTTGCCCCCCCCCCCCCAGGGCATGTCCTCGGCCCTAATTACATTACAGGGACACTGATAAGGGCTCTGAGTGGCCCTGGACAGCAGGAGACCGCATTTTCCCCCAGAGGGGAGCCAGGGCTCCGGAGGCATTTTCTTTGCCTTCCTTGCCTTTCTTTTAAGCCTGATGGAGGCAGCCGTTTCTTCCTGCTTCACTCAGGCATCCCTCCTCTGAAGCCAGATGCACCTGCTGCTTTGTCTGAGTGGCCTCACTGTGATTTTCATCATGTTTTTATTCCAGGATCACCTCTGCACCTGAGAGAAAGGGGGAACTGGCTATAAAAAGGAATCATTTCTCTTAATTACTCTTAAACTCCAGAGTGACTCGCCCAAGGGCAGGGAGCCCAGGCGGTGGGGTGTTTGTGAAAGCAGGGGCCATAAATCATGCTGGCCTTGCAGCTGGCTGAGCTGCCTCCTGCAGTCCCTGTCACTGCTGCCCTCGGTGGCACTTAATCGATGGCCTTTCTGGGAGCTCTGAGTGACGCTGTCTCCTGTGAGATGAGAGTCCACGAGCAACGGCCTCTGGAGGGAATGTTCCAGAAGGGGCTGGCCCCAGGGTCTCCCTCTGCTGGGTATAGGGGTATAGGGAGAGCTCACAGGCGATGCTTTGACCCACCAGGCAGCCCGTGTACTCCTCAGACCACGGATTCAGCAACAGCACGGGTTATTCTGGAGACCATGCTTCCTCCGTGTAGGCAGGAGGGAAGAGGTCCCTGACGAGACCCCCAACTCCCTGCCTGTCCGCTCACAGCCGCTCTGCCATCACCCCCTGGAGACCGCGGGCTGGCTCCCTTTCACCTTTGTCCTGCCCAGGTCGCCCCCAAAGGCCCCTGGGACCCTGGTCCTCCCTCATCCCCAGGCTAACCCCATAGCTGTGGGGCCAGAGAGGACCCCCCCACTCCCCTGGACCCCCTTTCTTCTTCCAACAGCATGTCCACCTTGCCTATACCCCGCATCTTGCTCATTTACCTGGCTGACTTCTAGAATGCAAGCTCCTGCAGTCAGGGCTTTTGTCTGGAGATTGTCACCTTGTGCAAGACTCACAGCAGCTCGAGGAGAGGGAGTAGCCCCACGCGCCCCGCACCCTGTTTCCGAACGGGGTTCAGAGCAGCAGGTGGCCCGCGAGGAAGGGCTGCGCAGGGTGGGGCGTCTGCTGGGGTCGGGCTGGGGCTCTGCGCCCCACAGACTCTGCACGGCCCCGCAGAGCCGGGCCAGGGAGCGTGAGGGGACACGCAGTTGCGGCCGAGCACCACTGGCCCCCGCTTTCCGGACGGGCCATGGGACAGGCCAAGGGGGGCCTGCTCGGAGGGTGCGAGGGATCACCGGACACCCGGCTCCCCGCACTCGGGTGGTGGGTGCAGTGCTCTTGGCCGCTGAGGCCGTGCTGCGGGGACCCCCCCAGGTCTGAGCTCGTGACAAGGCCGCGGCGCCCGGAGGTGTGGCCGCCGCCCAGGGCCTCCTGCGCCCCTGCGGCTCGTGCCCACCCGGCGGCTCTGGTCCCCGTGGCCCCGCCGCCCGGGAGACGCGGCCCGCACGGTCTGCGGCCTTGGCCCGCGGCGAGATGAGCGAGGGCTCGCACCGCCCGGCTCCGGACGGACAACAGGGGCCTGGCTTTCCTCCCTCCTCTTCCTCTCTCCTGTTACAGTTAGTTCGGGTTTTATTTTCCCTGAAGGGAAGGAAGCTCTCCATAGGAGGGTGCTCCCTGAGAGCTTCTCGACAGCAGAAGACGGGCAGGAACCCGGCTGGGGACAGGGATCCAGGCCTGGCCGGCCACCCCGCGGCCTTCAGTCAACGGGGGAGCCGCGTGAACTAGTGGGGAAACTGTGAAAGGGCAAGAGGCACAATTTGGGGGGCACCTGGGTGGCTCCGCGGTTGAGCGTCTGCCTTCAGCTCAGGGTGTGACCCCGGGGTCCTGGGATCGAGTCCTCATCGGGATCCCCACAGGAAGCCTGCTTCTCCCTCTGTCTGTGTCTCTGCCTCTCTCATGAATAAATGAATAAAATCTTAAAAAAAAAAAGTGAGACCTCAGTCTAACACTTAAGCACTTACGTCAATGCCCGTCCTGTAGAGGCTCCTGGCTGCGCACCTGGCGACCTGCTTGATGCTGTGAGACTGTGCTTCTGACTCCGGTTCACACAAGACCCATCTGGGGGTCTGGTTAACGTTTGGATCCCCTCAGTAGGACTTGGATGGGACCTGCCATTCTGCATTTTTGGGATGCTTCCAGGTGAGGAAGATGCTGCTGGTCTGTGGACCACACTTTGAGAAGCAAGGCCTTATGTTTTTTACTTTGAACCTTCATAACAATCTTTGAACTGAGATAAACTGGTTCAGAGAAGGTAGGTGACCTCCTCAGGAAAATGAGCACTCAGGTAAGTGATCTCCTCAGGTAAGGGACCTCTCAGGTAAGTGAGCTTTCAAGTAAGTGACCTCTCAGCTATGGGATCTCTCCAGGTAAGTGACCTCTCAAGGCAAGTGGCCTCCTTAGGTAAGTGACATTGTCACATAAGTGACGTCCTTGGGTTAGTGGCCTCCCCAGTGTCATGTGGCAAGTATACGATGGAGGCAGGATTTGAATATAGATCTTCTCAATCCCACAGCTCCCGTCTTAACCAACACATGCCTATAACTGCAACTCCATGGGTGATTTTCCTATAATTTTTCCTTGAAGTCTGATTTGCAGAACGGTTTTACTAATTAGAAGTTATAAGATGATTTCTCCTCAGAGTCACTAGACTGTGAAAGCTGCTCTCGTGTTGAAGCTCTCTTATCAGTCCGGGCGAAGTGAGTGAACGTCCGAGTCGCCTTGGAAGGAGGGCACAGGCCGGAATCCTATCACTAAGCGCTCACCGTCAGTAGCTCAGCAGAAACGAGGCATTTTACCAGGACCTAAATCTGCAGTTGCTTTTACCATAACGTTCAACACAGAATCTTGACTGGGAGAGCGTGCAGACTTGAAGAGGCTGCTGTTACCTTGTCCAATGTTTAAACAGATGAAGCCCCAAGGGGAAGAATTCTCATGTGGACACTGACCTTGACAAACCTACGGTCTCTCCTCATATCACCCGCTTGTTTGCATCTGGGTGCTCCACGGTGCCCGTGCCTGGGACCCCAGTCCCATTCGGGGTCCGCCTCCCACGGCCCTGCTTTAGGTGACCAGGAAGGGACATGTCAGTACCCCTCTCCTTGTCTTAGGAGAAAAGTAGGTGAGAAGAGACGACCTAACCAACAGACAACAACGATGCAAGTAAAATCCCCCAACAGGAGAGTCCCAAGGGAGTGAGGTCAGAATAAAATGTATGTCAATAATTTACATGCCCTTTATTTATATGCCCTTTAAGATTTTTTTTGAATGGGAATATGTGCTTAGTTAGAAACACACCTCAGATTTCTATCCAAGCAACAGTATCAAGTAAAAAAATTTAAGTCATCTGATTTTGCAGAAAAAAGCAAAATACCACATAGAATACCAGAATTCCTCACCATTTTATAATTGGGACTGTCCAGGGCCCCTGGAGCAGAGGAGGTTTTCTCACTGCGAGGTCTATGACTGCACACATTTGCCACTTCATTTTCAGGGTGCAGACATCGGCGATGGAGCCTTCGTCGTCTTGCCCCACTTGGCCCCTTGGTCTGTGTGAACCTGGAAACGTGAGCAGCCGGCGGCAGAAGGCCCCATCCCCTGTGATCCCGGCCTGTCTCTTCTTCAGGGCCTCACCTTGCCCATGGGGCAGAACTAGGTGAGCTCGAGAGCCTCTCATCGAACTCCAGCGTTTAGATTTCAAGAGCCGAGCTGTTTCTGAAAAGGTGTGTATCACACACAAGGGATCAGCAAGGGGAGGCCTTGCTTTATTCATCAGCCTCCTACTCTTGTGTGACCCTGAGCAGGTAGACAGACGGCTGTGGTCAGAAGGAACAGAGAACTTAATGCACACAGGCTTGAATAATAGGGGATTGACGGGCTCAAGCCTTAAAAAATCCTAGAGATAAAAGGCTTCGAGAGTGATTTGATCAGTGATTCAGTTTCCCTGCACTTCTTTTGGTGCCTATTTCTTTCAAGAGTCAGTGCTGATTTCAGATGCCTTCTCTCATGGCAGCAAGTAAAGGCTCTAGAGGTTCTAGAGTTGCATCCACACACCCCTTGTTTAGAGAGAAGAGCCTCAGAAGAGCCAGGGAACCCAGCTAAGTGTCTCTCTAGTCTCTCTAGTGCCCACCTGGGTCAGAGATGGGATGGGTTCAGGGCCATCCCTGAACCAATTGAGGTTCATATCCCACATCCCAAGGAGTAGGACAAGCTGACAGGTGAGGACAATCATGACCCACATGCTCCTGGAGCTGGGGGCTGGACCAGGCCCTCCAGGCTACTGGGCTGGGAGGTTCAGAGTCACGAGAGCAAGGGGCTGGCAAATAGTTGCGTACAATCTTCCAATAGGTCCCCACGGCACAGAAGAAGTCCCTGGATCTTCTTCTTTGGCAAAACTGGAACAATGACTATGATGATGTTGATAATCATGAACCTCTTCTTCAACCTGGCAACATTGTCACAAGGATCAAAGGAAAGAGGCAGACACTTTGGAATCAGCAAATCCCAGAATGAGTGTTAGCAGGAGCAGATGTTATGGTTATTACTGTTATTATTATTAATGCACCAAAATTGGTTTGTTTATTGTGAAATTGGTTCTTTCAGGATAATAGAGTGCTTGATGTCAGATATCTCAATCAGGGAAACTGAAAATTCTGTTTTTTTTATTGTAAAATCGATATTGCATGAAATTGATTTTTTAATTAAAATTAATTTTCATTACACGAGCATCACATAAGGATCTTCCTCTCCTAAGAAAGTCAAAACAGTGAGACGAGCCCAAGTCCCTGTTGACCTCCCCTGGCTTCTCCCTGCCCACACATAAGCACTGCTACCAGTGAGGTGTGATGAAAGCCCTTGCTTGGGCTTTTTGTATGCAATTGTCTGCAGTTGTCTGATTTTTGGAGGTCACCCTGAGTAACCGTTGGTTACTTAGGTAAAATACGGACACATTTATCCTCTCAAGAAGGCTGATTGAGAACCCACCCTATGGCCCTCATGGAGGATACATTCTACTGAAGGGATCAGAAAGTGAATAAACAAAATGCAGAGCAGGGTAAAGAAATGGAAGGCGGGTGGTCAGGGAAGGCTACCCCGTGGAGGGCTGGTCCCACAGGGGAGCAGGGAGGAGGGGCAAGGGAGGAGGGGTGGGTGAGGAGCAGGAACATGCTGTGCTTCCAGGAGCAGAGGCAGAGACAGCAATGAAGTGGGAGGGGCTGGGGACTCAGGTGGACTCTACAGGCGCTTGAGCAATAAATGTTTCTACCTATATGTGTATGTACATCCCAGTGTTACTTTGTGGGGTTTTAAAGTACACAGATATGTGCACCTGTGCATGCGTGCATACATGTGTGTGTATGTAGACTGTGTACATACGCATATCTATGTGTTTATTTGTGTATAATGTGTGTATACATGTATACGCGTGTGTTTGTATGTATTGTTTGTCCCCTCCTGCATGCACTTCCACACGGTGTGTCTCCGGCTCTGCCACCTCTGCTGCAGCACCAGCTTCTGCCTCATTCGTCACTATGCACAGCACAGCGCTCTTCAGGAAGGGTCCACCAACCATTGGTTTAGCCCTTCCCTGTTCAGATTTTCCACCATTAATCCCCACCTCACCCATGTGTTCCTGTCCCTGGAATCCTGGAAAGGCCACCAGGCAGCCATCATAGAGTGGGGACCTTCCTCTGCTTCCTTTCCTGCTGGGGGCCCAGAGCCTGGGGCTCCCGCAGAGCAGAGCAGGTGTTGGCAGGCCTCTGCTCGCCCACGAAGGAGCCCGCCTGGCCCAACCACACTAGACAGGGGGCAGGAGGCGGCTGTGGCAGAGATGCAAGGACGCAGGCCTGGACCTTCGAAAGAGGATTTCCAAATGCTCTCCGACCGCTTGGGAACTGTTTGGTAGGGTGCCCCGCAGCTAAAAATCCATGCATCAGGATGCAGAAGGGGCCTGCAGAGGGGGAGAGGCTGCCCTGGGGCCACAGTATGGGCGGGGTCAAGGCAGGGTCCGGGCGGATTAAGGGGAGTGGCCAGGGCTGGGCGGGGCTAACACGAAGGGGTGTGGCCGGTTTGGGGCGGGGCCCAGCTGGGGGTCCAGCTGGGGGCGGGGCCTTGCTGTAGGCCCCTGAGGGTCTGAGTCCCCACACTGTCTCTTGGTGCAGAGTCCCTTCCAGGTGCCTCACGTTCCCTCTGCTGATGCTTCAGTCCTACATTTCTCACTGCTCTGCTAATGGTTTTCATTAGTCTTAACAGTCCTGCCAACATGTGTTTTTTAAAAAAGAACTCTTGAAAAGGTGTCGCTTTGGAGAATTTGCTCAGGAGAATGACCTTGCCTAGGGATTGCTTCTGCACTCTGACCTTCTTGGGAGCTTGCCCTAGGAGGGTGGGCACTGCCCCGTGAGTACCTCCATATGCATTAAATAGTGAATAATAAGAGACACCATAGAAGAAAAGAAAAAGCTTTCTTATCTTAGGACTTTCAGTAGCATTTTGTTCCTGCTTTGGGGTACGTTTTCATTTTGCACAGGCTCTACAAACTATGTGGTTGGAGCTGCCTAGAGAACTAATAAATCTCCTGGATGTCACCCTCGCTCACTCTGACCCTCTCCGTGGTGTTCCTCAGGCGGCCGGAGGAACTCTGGAAGCACAGGTCATCCCACAACCTTGCCCTCTCCGTAAGTGGCAGCCCTCATGGCCCTGAGGCTGGCACCGGGGCACCGTCCTCCCTCCTTCCTTGCACACTCCACTTCTCCCCCAGCAGCCCATCCTGCCAGCTCCACCTGCCTCCCACTCACCTCCGGCCCCATGACCGCCGGGCTCAGGCCACCTTCCCCTCCTCCTCCTGGCCTCCCTGGTCACCCTGCTCTGGCATTTGCCCCACATCCCACCTGCAACAGCCAGATGATCCCGTCCAAACGTGACCCAGGTCTTGTCCCGGTGGCTCTCACTTCCCTTGTAGTGAAAGCTGAAGTCTTCTCAGGGATCCATGGACCTGAGATGATCCGTCACCCCCTCCCTGCACTCACCTGTCATCTTTCTGGACTTATGTCCCCCCACACTCCCCTTCACCCACTTGGCTCCAGCCACACTGGCCTCCTCGCTGCTGCACAAACTCACGCTACTCTCCCCTCTCAGGACTTCACCCTCGCTGCTACCTCTGCCTGCAATACCCTGTGCCCCCATGTGTCCCCGTTCCAGCGTCACCTCCCGGGTTGAGCCTTCCCTGACCGCCTGGTCACCCTGCAACCCCGTTCCTGGCGGTCCCTCCCCTGATGCTGCTTTGTTGGTCTGCATGCGTCCCTCCGTGTTGGATGCGGTGCATATTCACACTTTGTTCTGTCACTATCTGTCGTCCCTGCACAGCGTCAGCTCCGTGAGGACCAGGGCCACCTGCCGCGCTCACGGCTGCGTCCCCAGTACCCTGAGTTGGCACCAGTGCATACATGCAGCATGTTTGAGCGACGCGTGCATACATGAATGAGAACCTGCTTCTCCCAGGGGGCGACACTGCTCCCGGGGGGCAGCAGGTGGTTGCTGGGTGGGAAGATCTCCGTCTCTCTATGTAAGAACACAGGCGACGTTCAGCACATAAAGACGCAGCGGACGCTTCTGTGGTATTAAAATTTCACGAGGGCCAATCCAGAAAAAATGTCTGAAATGACTCCATAGGGGACGATAATGAAATGAAGGTTGAGAAGCGAATCAGAGGAAGCCCAGACGAAGCGCAGCCTTTTGCTCCCACACGTGCCCGGGGTGGGGACAGGAAGCAGGAGCCCATCAGGAGGCGCCAGGCCTGGACAACAATCATGGGCAGTCCTGGGTGGGGGGACTCACGGGGGAGCGGCTTGGAGCACCCCGGGAGCGTCTCTCCTGCCCAGGGACAGACTTACAAAGGATGATATTTACATTTTTCCTGAAGCCTCTAATTTCCTCATTTATCATTTGTCAGCGCCCGAGGCCCTTCCATGCACGCGGGATGTTTGCCCACATCTAATGATCCCTTTTGCCAAACAAACGTCACCGTCTCTACGAGGAAATTCGTTAACGCTGCCGAGGCTGCTAATTCCATCCATTAATGTCACACTGAGCGTCGCGCGCGGGATCCGGGGCAGCTGCTGGCACCCTGCGCCCCGGGGCTCCTGGGGCCAGTTTGCTGGGAGCTCTTCTCAGAGAGGGAACCATGGAAACCGCCCCTGGCGGGGCTGCTGAGACCAGAACAGAGCGGATTCCAGTCTGTGCTGGGCTGAAGGGGACCTGGGCTGGGGACCGAGGCCAGGTTTCTAGAACTCTGCTGGTGCCCGGGTCAGGGGCCTGCCCCTGCTCCCTGGACTTGGAGCAGCCCCAGGGGAAGGCAGAGCAGGCCGGTGCCACTGCCCCCGGGAGAGGTCTGGGGGGCCACGGAGGCCCCCCGAGAACTGCTCCCCTCGCTCCCTCCATCAGCTCACCCCAAGCTGCTTGACCAAACCCCAGGCCCTTTGCATCAACTCACTTCTGCCCCCAGGGCGGAACTCCGAGCTCCAGGTGAGCACTCAGGTCCTGCCATCCCAGGGTTCTTGTGACCAAGGGCCAGGGGGACAGCAAAGCACGTCTGGATCCTTCCTCACGCATCCACTGAGGGTCAGCGCGCTGATGAGCCACCGGCCTTCACAAGCAGAATCATGGAAAATGGGGAAAAAGGTTTTATCAGTTGTTCGATACTCACGGTCCCCGGCCCCGGAGGGAGCTTGCAAACGTCTCCGGGCTGGGGGTCCGCACAGCAGAGCTGGGAGGACGTTCCTTTCACGACAGAACCTGTGTCTGTCCACGGAGACCCTGGATGTGCTCTTCGCTCAGTGCAGCCGAGCCGTGTTGTCCCGCACCAACCAGGAGCGGGTCACCCTGGCCACCACGGGGCTCCTGGCCGCCCGGCCTCCTGAGGTCCTGCTCAGGGCACGGCCTGGCGGCGGGGCCGCCGCCTTGGGGACCGTTCATGGCAGGACAGAGACAGGAGGCGCGGGACAATGCCTGGGCCTTCAAAATGGATTTAAGAATGCGGATTTCAGGCAGCTTTCTGCACTTCCCACGTGGGGTCAGGCCTGCCCCCGGCCCTGTCCTGTCCCGGCTCTGACCGTGGTCACATTCCCTGAACCCTCCCAGCCCTGCCTCAGCCATTGGTCTGGGTGCTTCACGCAAACATCCTTCCAGCACATTCGTGCCTATGGGTGGGCTTCCTGGCTTGGTGGTGGCCGCTCAGCAGGCTCGCTCTGGCTGACGACCCGGGGTGGCCGAGAAAGGCAGGTGCAGGTCTGGGCGGCAGGAGCGGCTGCTCGGCCCGTCGTCCCCAAGTCTCCGTCATTGCCCTCGTGCCCGTCTCTGCAGACCCTGGACCCCGGCGACATGGGGGTTCTTCAGGCTCAGGGGGGCTTGCACGTCCTCCCCTGATTAGAACCTAGAGACCACTTCTCCCCGCGTACCTGTGTCAGTGACACCACGGCTCCATGCTCTGGCCCCCTCGTGCCCGTGGATTCTCGTGCCCTGTCCCCTTTGGTTGTGGTACCATCACTGTCCCCACCTTACAGGAGAAGAAGCACAGGTTGGGGGCTTTGCCCGGCCACGGGGATGGCTGGCCCGAACACACCGGCAGACACAGATCTGAGGATGCATTTGCAGGGGATTTCAAATCTTAAGCCAAAGTGAAGGTCACATCGCTGCCTCTTGCCAACATCCCCTCTGCTCTGCGGAAA